TCATCCTGAGAATGGCTACAAGGATGAGCAGGTAAGACAAAAGAACTATCAGAAGGGATGAAATCAAATTAAAAGCTGAGAAAATCAGAATAATCAGTTCAGTTACATGTGTGTTTGAGCAGAGCAAAGATAACAAGGGAAGAGCGTCACAGTAGAAATGTCTGATGACATTATAACCACAGAAGGATAAATTAAAAATCTTGACAGTGATTAGAAGAGAAACAAATATGCTGTAGAGATAGGGGATTGCCACCAGCACCTGACATACCCTTTGGGACATGATGACTGTGTAGAGCAGAGGGTTACAGATGGCCACATAGCGGTCGTAAGACATTGCTGACAGAATAAAAAGTTCATTAATAATGAACATGATGAAAAAAGCCAGCTGTGTGGCACAAAAATAATAGGAGATTGTATTTTGATCCACAACAAAATTTGCTAACATTTTAGGGCCGACGGTTGTTGAATAACCAAGATCAGTAAAAGCCAGGTGTCTGAGAAAGAAGTACATGGGTGTTTGTAGCCTGGAGTCCATCTTGGTGAGGATGACCATGCCCAAGTTGCCTGCCATCATCAGGTAGATGATGAGGAAGAGCCCAAATAATGGAGCCTGCAGCTCTGGGTGGTCTGTGATTCCCATCAGAATGAATTCATTTAGCACTGTTTGTGTTTTTCCATCCAGGTTTAACAGAAAACCTACTTTGGATAGAACTATCAGCAAAGTCAATAGCTTTCATGTGGTATAATCTGGTAATTTTTTAGTATACAAAGTTGGAATATATAAAATAAATCCAAATTTACCATTTAGACTTTAATAAAATAAAACACTTCCTGCAAATAAAACACATATATTTAGTAATAGAAACCGAGATAGAGATAGAGAAAGAGTTGAAGACACAGATTTGTGGTTTTCAATGGGGTAAAATTTGTCACCCAATAAACATTTGACAATATTGGGAGGAATTTTAGTTGTCACAACTGGAGGAGGGGCGCTACTGGTGTCTAATGGTTAGAGTCCAGTGATGCTGCTAATTATCCTACTATATTTGGGAATCCCCCCACAACGAAGAATTATACAGCCTGAAATACCAATAGGGCCAAGGTCGGCAAACTTTGATATATGTTTAGAGATACATATAGATATATGTATAGATCTAGATACAGACAGATATAAATGTAGGTAAAGGAAGTAAAAATGAAAAATGGTAAAAACTTTAGGCATTAGGTTTATAGGTGTTTGTTAAACGTTTCTTTTTTTTATATAATGACAATTACATAATTACATTTACTGAAATCACATAACTTCACAATACACATGTTAATTACATAATAGATTTTTTTAAAAATCCAAATTCCAGTTATGTGTGGAAACATTTAGAAGCCCCTAGTTTAAAACACATTCCTACGAGAGCCATTATGCCTACAGGTGGTACAGAATGAAACAACGCACAACTGATATTTTACAGAGGTGTATAAATAAGGAAACTCTAAAAGATGATAGTAGAGATTATTTGTCTTTATATAGAGAAATATACGTAAGTAGATATAGTCTCTGCTATACCTACATTTGTGATATATACAAAGGTGTACTTTGGGCAAATGATGACAGGTTTCTTAATCTCTATATACATCAGCAAAATCAACTCTTTCTTGTAGTGTCGTTGGAAAGATAATTGAGAATTAAATTTTTCAATGTGTTTATGGTATCTGGAAATATTCCTCAAATATCAAGTACATATGGGTTATAATGTGCTTTTTTTAATTTGTTTATGTGGAGACAATACGTTACCTGAAACGGATTAACTTTACACATGTATAAATGCATTTTTTGTGTGTAACTTAGCTTCTTTGTCATGGATATGAAGATGAATAGATGGAGTAGTGTGTTATCCAGGTAAGTGTCCCCAGTGCGTCCCCCCCACTGTATTTCACGACATCACACTGACAAGATAAAGTACACAAATATATATATGGATTCCACAACGTTATTTTAAGTCTGTCTGCACATTAAGACTGCAAAGAACTCCTCCATAGTATGAGATAACATTTAATGCAGACATAAATAAGTATAATGAAATAAAGATGTATGTAAATATCCCCAATAAGCCATCAGTTAAAAAAAAATACCAGAGTAATACCAGAGTAAAATGAGGATGGCAGGCTAAGGTAAAAGAATTAGTGGTTTGAAAAACTGTATCTATGCTTCCTTAGAAAAAAAGAAAGAGAAAGAAATAGGATTGATCCTGGCTACAGGGAAAATGGGAGTGTCAGGAGTCTCTGAGTGAGCTCTAAGAAAACAAATAGAAAAATGTAGCATTTATAACATTGTATCATAAATATGTTTACAGGAAATGCACACTTTCTCACATAAAACATTGTTTATAAGATAGCGATCTTCTGATTTCCTATGCAGACCCCGTGTACATACCCTTCTATGTCAGAAATACTGAAGTACTGTTAGGAAAAAAATGTTTAAATCAATGGGATAAGAAGCAATATAAATCTTTTTTGGGTGCCATGATGAAATGCTACAGAAAACAAATCTCACTGGCAAGTGCTGATTTCTTGTAAGATGAGGGAGGATAGAAGGGGTTTCTCCCACCACCTGTAGGGTTCTAAGGAAAGCATAAATTACTTTTTCATTGTTTACTCTCTGTGTTGATTATCAGATTATTATTTTTGAAAGCTATGCTCTTCAAGAAAATTATATCTGCTTTCTGTCAGATTCCACTGGAAACTGAACACACTGTACATTGTACAATCACTATAAAACTGGGGACTTAAAAGTCTCCTAACGTCCAAAAATTGCTTTCCACATCTCAGTGTAAGGTGGAAACCCCATTTTGCTCATCAAGAGATCAGAAAAATTCACATTTATGCATTGATTTAAATTTTCATTAATTATTATGATATTTTTGAGAAGGGAATAAGAAAAGCCTAGAGTCACTAAGTGACTAAGGATTTGGAAAGACATCCAATTAGAAACTAAATACCTGCAGTTTTATAATTCTGCCATAACTTTTTTCTTTTATTCCTGACTCTTTTGTTAGGCTTTCTTGTCTCTTGGTTTTGTTTTCTGTTGTTCACATGAATAATTATTTATAAGAAATATGAGTATTACGTAAGCAATATGGTACTGACGTTTCAAATATGCTTATTAACATTTGTGAAAATATCTGAACAATTGATCTGAAGAAATGAAGAGCAGTTCTATTCTGCTCATGCATTATCAAAAGCAGAATGCACACAGAAGTGAATCAAAAATCCCAATATTTTGCTGTGCTTTGCCATAGAATAATGGTGTTCTTGCAAATGTCAACAAAGCTGTTCAGATATGAGTAAAATACGGCACCGAATTAAATAGCTTGTTTGCCGGTAATGAAATCTCTGTCTCGGCTCCCCATGTGCTTCATAACATGGCAGAGTGAGAACAATTTATGGATTTTATTTCACCCTCTGATACTCTCCCTGAGGAGATGCCAAGCAATTATTGATTATTCCTGAAACATTTGAAAGCTTAACAGAATGCAAGAGGAGTGTTTCATAATTGTCTAAAACAAATTTTATTTGCCAGCAAGTGAGGAAGATTTATTCATTTGTGTATTACATTCCTACCTGTTACTCTTTCTTTGTTTTTCCACTTTGATGGTTAATTTTTGTGTCCACTTGGCTAGGCTTGGTGCCTAGTTGTTTGGTCCAACCGCAATCTAGATGTTATTATGAAGATTTTTATTTAGATGAGATCAACATTTATTTATTTATTTATTTTTTTGTGAGGAGATCAGCCCTGTGCTAACATCCGCCAATCCTCCTCTTTTTTTGCTGAGGAAGGCTGTCCCTGGGCTAACATCCGTGACCATCTTCCTCCACTTTGTATAGGACGCTGCCACAGCATGGCTTGCCAAGCAGTGCGTTGGTGTGCACCCGGGATCCGAACTGGCGTGTTCGGTGTTCCGATCCCTGGGCTGCCGCAGCAGAGCGCGCACACTTAACAGCTTGCACAACCAGGCAGGCCCCATATGTGATCAACATTTAAATAAATAGACTTTGAGTACAGCTAATTACCCTCCAGAATTTGGGTGGGCCTGGTCTAATCAGTTGAAGACTTAAAGAGCAAGGATTGATGCCCCTCAAAGAAAAAGGAATTCTGCTCCAGACTGCAATATAGAAATTCTACCTTAGTTTTCCACCTTTGTACTCAAGACTGCAGTATCAACTCTTGCAGTACCAGCCTGCCCGTAGACTTTTGCCTTGCCAGTCCCAAAACCTCATGAGTCAATCCCTTAAAAATCTCTCTCTTTATAAACGTATAAATATAATCCCCTTTTGCTTCTCTTTCTCTGAAGTATCCTTACTAATATAACCACATGGGGAAATGGATTTCTATATTTTATCTTCACAACAAGCTTGCCAGTATTCCTCCCGTTCTACAATGGTCTCCTCAAATGGATGACACAATAGAGAGCTTTTCAAATGCTGTCCTATTACGTTATTTAAATGATTAGATGAACTAAAAATAATAATATATTGTGTGTAAAGTTCTTGTTTCCTTAATTTTTTTGGATTGTTCTTCTATTTTTTTCCTTTCTTTTTGACCATAGGGAGAGAAATTAGTTACCCCTACTTCTCATCCTCATTTTGTAGTAAGTTGTCATCATCTGTTATGGTCTTCTTTTTCATCATATTTGCCTGTATTACATTTCAAGATTTCTTGTTTTTCCATCGTGTCCAGTACTCACTCCAATTCTTCTTGTCTACTTTAACACATATTCTACTGTGCTTGCTATATAGCCTTCGTGGTCAAGATATTCTGCAAAAATGTATTATTTTATGTGTACATGATTTGCTGTGTTATTTGCTGTAATAAATTGCATTGTTGCATTTTAAATCACTTTAATTGTTTGTGATGTATCCATGTTGTGACTATTTTTGCTTCTTTCTTCATTGCAGTCAATAATATATAACAAATTTCATGGATCTATTCTTCATTGGTAAATATTTGTTTGTTTCCAACCTCAGTTATCACCAACACTGCTACCACATACAGTTCAATGAAGAGCCTTGAGCTTGCCATGTTAATATGTTGTGAACAAAATTATCCCTAATAATTATTTTACACATATGCCTCTGTGTGTGTTGATATACATATATAACACCTACGCCTATATGTACACCTACACATAAGCACACACACATAAAGAGATCTGTTGATAGGAGAAAATGTAATAAGACATTTAATTTTGTTAAATATTTCAGATTGTTTGTACCAATAACCTCTTCCACCACCAAATAGATGAAGTTCTTGGATCTTCACATCTATGACAGGTGCCTGCATTATGTTCTCTCTTGTCAATGGAATAATATTGTACAATATATGTTTCTATTATTGATTTTTTCCTTATTTGTTTGATTTATTGGCATGTTTGGTAATTAGGTAAAACAAGTTTATGCAGTTGTCATTCAAAAAAACTGCACAATATAAAGTGTAAAATTTGATTAGTTTTGACATAAATATGCATCTGAAGAATCATCAGAACCCTCAAGGTAATGAACATATCCATCACCTCCAGAGTTTCTTAGTGGCTCTCTATGTAATATTTCCGTTCTACCCCTTCTTGCCCCATGCTGTCCCAGGCAGCCTTAGATTTAATTATTTTTTACTTTTTGTTTTGGAATAGTTTTACAAGAAGTTGCAGAAAAGAGCACAAAAATTGTAACAAGTTGTATAAATACAGTACGATAGTATGATCATGAAATTAACATTGGTACAATCCAATGACTTTGTCCAGATTTCACTAGTTTTGCATGCACTCATTTGTGTGTTTGTGTGTGTCTACATATATATTTCTATGTAATTTTATCATATGCGTACATTTGTGTAACCACCACAACAGTCAAATACAGACCTAGTCCATCACCACAAGGTCCCTTATGCCCTTCCTTTACAGCCACACTCTCTTCCCTTCTCTCATTCTCATGTCCTTAACCCTTGTCAACTACTAATTCATTTTCCATCACTATAATTTTATCGTTTGACCAATGTCGTATAAATGAAATACTGTTTGTAACTTTTTGCAATTGGCCTTCTTCAGCCAACGTAATTCTCTTGAGGTCCGTTGTGTTTTTGTGTATCTATCATTTGTTCCTCTATCATTGCTTTATTATTATTGTTCCTTTATTATCTTAGGTGAATGATGATAAACTATGTTCAACTGGTCACCCATTGAAAGATATTTACATGGTTTCCAATTTTCAACTATTACAAATAAAGCTCCTATGAACTTTTGTGCAAAGGTGATTGTAAGAACATGAGTTTTCATTTCTCTGGGATGAATGTCCAAGAGTGAGATTGATGATTTGATTTAATTTTGGAGTTCAAATCACCAGTTTGCACTTTTACGGATCATATTTTTAATGCCATGTTGATGAACTTTTCACCTAGTATTATGTACCGTAGATAGATTTTCTTTAATATTTTTGTCTAAACTTTTATAGTTTTATATTTAAGTCACAATTTATCTTGAGTTAATTTTTGTGTAAAGTTTAGGTCAACATTCTAATTTCTTTTCTTTCTTTATCAATTTTTTTTGCCTATGGACATCCAATTGTTCCAGTACAATTTCTTAAATGGTTATCCTTCTTTCATTGAATTACCGTTGTACTTCATGAAAAATTAGTTGGATCTTTTCCATAAGTGTCTATTTCTCGCTTCTCTCTTCTGTTTTATTGATCTATTTCTCTGTCCCTCCGCAAACACCGCCTAGTCATGATAACTACAGCTATATACTAAATGTTAGCTGACTGATTCTTTCCATAGTATTTTGATTCAAAAATGTGTTTTAGCTATTCCAGGTCTTCGGCATTTCATATGAATTTTAGTATAAATTCACCTATGATCTACAAAAAATAATGCAGAGATATTATTTGGATTTTCATTAAACCTATAGATCAATTTGGGAAAAATTTATACCTTTACTATATTTAGTCTTCTAATCTATGAATACAAAATGTCTCCCATTTGTTTATATCTTCTTTGATTTCTTTTTTTTTTTTTTGCTGGGAAAGATTCGCCCTGAGCTAACATCTGTTGCCCATCTTCCTCTCTTTTTATTCCTCCCCAAAGCCCTGCTACATAGTTATATATTCTAGTTGTAAGTCCTTCTAGTTCTTCTGTATAAGCTGCCAGCATAGCATGGACAGCACGGCTACTGACAGATGAGTGGTGTGGTTCCACACCCAGGAACAAAACCTGGGCTGCTGAAGCAGAGCACGCCATGCTTTGTAACCACTAGGCCGTCGGGGCTGGTTATCTTCTTTGATGTCTTGATTCAGCATTTGGTACTTTTCGGCAAACAGATCCTGTACATATTTTGTTAGTTTCCATCTAAGGGTTCATTAGCCTTGGGGTGATTGTTGTGTTTGTTATTTCTGTTTCATTGTTAGTATGTACAAATCTGATATTTGCTTAGTAATCTTGTGTCCTGTTCCCTTGCTGAACGCACCTTTTAGGTCTAGAGTTTTTTGTTTCTTTTTTGTAGATTCCTTGAGATTTTTAGTATTGTGGTTACTGATATTGTTAGGTTTTAGTCTATCACATTGTTATTTGATTTCTATTTTTCCCATTTTTTTTTATTTTTCTGTTCTATATTTTTATTGTGGACTAAAAAGCTATAACTTTTTTGCTGTTATTTTAGTGTTTGCATTAGGGTATGTGGTATAGATATTTTACTTGTCACAGTCTACCTTCAAGTGTAATCATACTCCTTCACATACAAAACAAGAACATTACAATATCTATTCTCTCCCAGTATGTCCCTTATACAATTTGTACTGTGTATTTTTATTATTTTTAAATAATTAATTGACTTTGAGGTTTAAATTTTTAGAAACCTTATATGTGTTTATTAGTTCAGGTGTTCTTCATTCCTTTGTCTAGATTCAGGTTTTCACCAGGTATCATTTTCCTTCCAGCTGAAGGGCGTCTTGATCATTTCTTACAGTGCAGGTCTGCTGGTGATGGATTCTTTCAGCATTTGCACATCTGAAAGTCTTTATTATGCATTCCTGTGTGAAAGATCTTTTTCCAGGTACAGAATTCTAGGTTGACATGTATTTTGTTTGTACTTTAATGACGTTTCTCCTATGACTTCTCACCTGCAGTGCTTCTGATGACAAATATAATGTTATTCTTTTCTTTGTTTCTCTGTGTACAAAGTACCTTCTTTCTTTGACTGCTTAAGCCTTTTATTTATCACTGGCTTTCAGCAATTTGATTATGATGTGCGTTCAAGTAGTTGTCTACATGTTTCTTGTATCTGGGTTTTGTTAATCTTCTTGAATCTGAAAATTTTTTATTTTAACCATATTTATTTTTTAAAGTGTATTTTTTGAATAATTTTTAATGCCCTTCTATTTGAGGGAGTTCAATTACTTGCATACATGGTTGCTTGAAGTTCTCTCCCAGCTTATTGATGCTTTTTCCATGTTTTTGATTTTTTCACCTTCTGTGTTTCATTTTCGATACTTTCTATTGCTATATCTACAGATTCAGTAACCTTTTCTTCTGTAACGTCTAATCTGCTGTGAATAAGGAGAACTGACCTCATCACAAAATTTATTTCCTCCAATCAATGGACATGATATATTTCTACATTTATGTATTTTTAATAACTCAGTAATGTTTTTGTAGTTTCTAGCAATGAAGTTACACAAATTGTTCATTAGATTTTTCCCAAGTACTTTACAGATGTTTTTCTAGTGTAATTGATAGTTTAAATTTTATTTTTACCTTTTTTGTTAGTATATAGCAAAATAATTGATCTTTTATATGCTGACAATATATCCCCTAACCTTGCAAAATTTACTCATTATATATAACATGTTAGCTTGAAGATTCCTTTGAATTTTTAATGCACAGAATTATGCCACTCAAAATAATTACACTTTTATTTCTGCTTCCTCGAGCATTTACATGTTTACATATCATAATTTAACAGAAATCTGAGATGCCACCCACTACAAGGGAGCTAGAGTGAAAGTATCATTAAGGCAGACATTTAGATGTCTTCTTCATTGCTGTGTATCTGCCCAGCACATAGAGGAGTACCTGCCATCTTCTATATGTCAGTACGCCAGTGTGATGCACGCTGGTATTTAAATGGTGCATGAGACACAAAAAAAATATTTTATTGAAAGATACAACAATGCCTTTAAAAAAAGATCATCTACTGGGAGATGCACTAAGCAAGACTTCCCTTCAGTTGTAACACAAGCACTTGGCAATGTGAGAACAGTGATGCAGACTCCAGTCTCTTGCTCTGAAAATTGAGGACAAGATCAAAGTTGATACCAGAAGGATGATCACTGCTTGAACATTTATAACTGGAAAATTAGAAAAACATTTCTAGTTTCCCATGATTTTTACACATTACTACTTTCTAAAGGCCTATTATACATAATAAATTGTTGTCTATAACCTAATTATTGTATATATGTTCTATACTGAACTTTATATAGGGAGTTTCACAGATTTTTCCATATCCTATGAAGGGCACCTTTTACCTCTTTGTTCCTCAAGCTGTAGATCATGGGATTCAGCATGGGTATTACCAAAGTGTAAAATACAGAGGCCATTTTATCAGTATCAAAGGAATGACTGGACTTGGGCTGCACGTACATAAAGGATAGAGTCACATATAATACAACTACCACTGTCAGGTGAGACCCGCTGGTGGAGAAGGCCTTGTGCCTACCCTCTGCACAGTTCATCCTGAGGATGGCCTTAAGGATCAGGATGTAGGATACAAGGACTGTCAGAAGAGATGAAACTAAATTAAATACTGAGAAGATCAGTATTATCAACTCAATTTCACGTGTGCTTGAGCACAGCAAAGTTAACAAGGGAAGACTGTCGCAGTAGAAATGACTAATGACATTATAGCCACAGAAGGAGGAAATAAAAATCTTTACGGTGGTTATCAGAGAAACAAAGGCACTGTAGAGATAGGGGACTGCTACCAGCACCCAACATACCCTGTGTGACATGATAACTGTGTAGAGCAGAGGGTTACAGATGGCCACATAGCGGTCATATGCCATTGCTGACAGAATGAAAAGTTCACTAATGATAAACAAGATGAAGAAAGCTAGCTGTGTAGCACACCAATTATAGGGGATTGTATTTTGATTAACTACGAAATTTACCAACATTTTGGGTCCCACAGCTGTTGAATAACCAAGATCAATGAACGCCAGATGTCTGAGAAAAAAGTACATGGGGGTTTGTAGCCTGGAGTCCATCTTGGTGAGGATGACCATGCCCAAGTTGCCCACCACTGAGATGATGTAGATGATGAGGAAGAGCACAAATAATGGAGCCTGCAGCTCAGGGCGGTCTGTGATTCCCATTAGAATGAATTCTTTCAGCACTGTGTGATTGTGCTTGTCCTTCCAGGCCATTATGGAAAATTGCTGTGGGAAGAACCATCAGAAGAGTCATTGGGTTTCAGGAGCTATTGTGGTTAAACTTTTACTATGCAAAGCCATTATGTGTAAGGGAAATCCAATTGTTTTTAGATGCAGTGATTTCAAACAAGACCTCCCGCCATCATTAAACCTAGAACCAAATTTAGAAACCATTACAGCCTAAGATATATAGTAGCCATTTTATGTTTTGTGTCACATACTGCTTATCATTACAAGGTCTATACAGTCCCTTTATGGTTCTGTCAATAATAGATCATCGCAAAAGTTTGGCCTAGAGTGAGAATCCTGGTACTTTTTTAAAAATATTTTTTATTTAAAATACATATAATTTAAAACATATCCAATTTTAGATGGAATTATATTAAAAAAGAATAGCCCTCTGCTTTTGCCTCCACAACTTCAGTCCCAATCTCCAAAGAAAACCATAATTAACCCATTTACTAGACTTTAATTTACTTCTCTTCATTATGATCCCACATATCTAAATGGTATTCTCTTTCCACTATCCATTTGATTTTTTAAATTTGTATTCTCCTTCCAGTGTACTTTTATGAGTTTTAAACATTGTTTAATGATTTGTACAGTGATAGAAAATAATTTAACTACCTCATAGAAGTGCCCCACATGCCCACTGTAATGCACATAAGTAACTTTATTTCCTCTAGAACAGTGTATTCTAAACTTCAGTACTTGTGTGCTGATTTTTGAGGTTTCTGATTTTTGCTATGTTACATATCAAGTAGGGCCTGCATCTATGGTTTATTCAACCTGAGAAATAATAATTAGCAGGTGTTCCCGCATTTGCTTTGACTTTAGCACTAATTTCTCTGAACTGATGGGTTTAATGCTGTAGTTATATTTTTCTAACACATTTGAAGACAAGTAAAAAAGATAATTAAAATGCATTGCTTTGTTTTGTTTTGTTTTTTTGCTGGGAAAGATTCACCCTAAGCTAACACCTGTTGCCAATCCTCTTCTATTTTTCCTCCCCAAGCCCCAACAGGTCGTTGTATATTCTAGTCGTAAGTCCTTCCAGTTCTTCTTTGTGAGCCACCACCACAGCGTAGCTACTGACTGACAAGTGGTATGGTTCCAAGCCTGGGAACTGAACTTGGGCTGCTGAAGAGGAGATTGCCAAACTTTATCCACTAAGCCATCAGGGCTGACCCTTAAAACTCATTTCTTAATGTACCACCTAAAATCATCGAGTAAACTACTATGAATATACTTATCCAACAAAGAGAAACATCACTCTAAAGTATAGGACACTGTCTGAACTGCCTGAGGGGCTGGCAAACAATATCATTGGATGAAGTCTAAGGTTGAAAAATAAAGTGATGGGGAACGAGGAGTATGACATATTGCATGATTCATTTGAAAATTCACTCAAGTTTTACCTGTTTAAATGTACATGAACAGGACAGAAAATTATTTGATCCACATAAAGCCAATTGAATATGGCATTCATAGAAATGGAGTATATATACTATATTTCCATTAGTATATTATTCTCATACCTTTATTTCAGCTTCCATCAAGAATACATCAAATATCTTGAATTAATAAATTTTAATGTAAGGGTTGCATTTTCTCTACTTCTACTTTCCCAACTCCTTTCCCCTTCAGATTGTTTTAAAGGCAGGTGCTCCGAAACTTTCATGGAAAAAATCATCCATATTTATGAAAACCTCTTCCAGAGTTTAAAAAATGTGGACCACATTGCAACTCATCCTAGGAGGCTAGAAAAATCCTGATTAAAAAATATATGTGTATATAATAATAAAGAATGTATTCATGCCTATCATTTCACTTATATGGATGCAAAAATCCTAACCAATATTAATATATTATCGATATAAATTTTTAAGATGTAGAAGAATTACAGTACATTATATTCAAGCTGGGTTGATCCCATGTTTGGCTGAATGGTTTAATTTTGGAAAATCTATAAATATAATTCACCACATCATCAGACTGAATTAGGAAAAATCGTATAAGCATTCAAATAGATGAAGAAGTAATACCCTTTAGATAGAACAAAAACAATAAAAATTAATATTAAAATGAAAATTCCATAACAATAGAAAATCTTATAAAAACTAGACAAGTTACTGTTAAAAGGAGAATAATTAAAATTTTATTGAGAAACATTATAGAAGTTCTAAATAAATTGATAGAAATACTGTGTTCCTGGATTGCACAACTCGGTGTCATAAAATGTCAATTCTGCTCAAATTAATCTATTTGCTCAATGCCTTTCCAATCAGAATCTCACTAGGAGATTTTGTAGAATTTGACACTGATATATAACGTATTTAGAAAAGGCAAATTATAAAGAATAAGCAAGATACCTTTGAAAAGACCTGAGGTACCAGGTATTAAAACTTATAAAGCTGGAGTTATTGAGACAATGTGGCATTGGCACAAGGATGGGCAAATACATCATGGAACAGAATAGAGAACTTTAGAAAAAGACCCACGACTGTACAGAACTGCAGTGTATGACAGAGGTGGCATGTTAGGACAGTACGGCAAAAATGTCTATTCAATAAATGTAGCTGGAGAAAATGATTATCCCTGTAGAAGATGATGAAATTAAATGTTTAGCTCATCCGTGTAAAAATCAATCCTAGACAGGTCAAGAACTTAATGCTAAAAGAAAGTACTTAAGCTCTTACAGCCTTGAAAACTAAAACCTCTGGATATCTCTAAAGAAGCAGAAATTTCAAGAAAATCAGAAGAGAAATTCAAGATTAATTAGGCAGATTAAATCTACCTCACAAAATTACTCTGTCCAAAAATCTATTCACGATATTAAAATATTAACAAAAAAGTAAAAATAAGTATTCATTAGCAGCAACCAAAGAAAGAAAATGTAAAGTGTGGCACTTTAAGCTGCAAAAACCTATACACAAAATAATAAATATTCCACAGCAGTTTGTACAGTTTGGCCAACCGCTGCATCGCAACAACACAGTGTTGTAATTTTACACATCCCTAGAGATCTTCTGAAACACAACTGAGTTGACAATTTATGTGCTCCTCCCACCACCACCCCTACCCAAGCACTGAATACAAAGAAACAGGGAAACTGAGCAACAAACATTTTATCTGATAGAAGCTCAAATTCCAGAACTGCACTAGGACTTGAGGAATGGATCTGAAGCCAAAGGATGTCCTCCTATGCAAATGAAACACCCAATCTCAACTAAGTATTCTGTAAGGTTGTGCAAATAGACTCAAAGGAGATAAATGCCTTGGTCAAATTGAAAACATTGTCCTCCCATTCAAAGGAGGGAAAGGAAGAAAGAGGGAGGACAGAAGAAGGAAGGCTCTTGAATGGCTCTAACAATATGTCAGGCTCATTAGTCTTTGGGTGAGTTAGCATCAGCAGAAATAAGTACGCTCTTATTTTAAAATTATAAAAAAAAAGACAAACACCCATACTTCTCTCATCCAACACTGTTAGTAAGGCCATAGGTGCTTATATATATTTCCACGGCTTACTGTGTAAAACACACTGCATTATCTCTGTAAGGGGACACTGACTCTGCAATAAAGTGGCATTAGTGAAGGATGTGAAATCAATATAAATCTTTTCTAATTACAACTTTGAAATGTGACAAAATTTGCTGCTTGGCCAATCCTACTACGTGAATACCAAAATTTTGTAACTTAAGATGTGCAGAATTATACTCACTAGCTGTGGGAGTTGATGCCAATCCCCAAACGATTATTATGTGGCTTGTCATGATCACGGAAAAATTTTAAAAAGCATACTGATTATAATTATATCCTGTTATTCTAGATTCTCAAACATGTGGGCAATTTCTGTGTGCTGAGTGTCCTTGTTTGCACTGTACCTGTGCCATATAACTGGGACCTGTGCAGAGGGATGGGAAGGTCTCCTACCCCCCTCTTCCCATCCTTAAAAAATAATTTTTGTTATTCATTGTGGCATGTGCAATTTATAACATGAAGGACAACAGATCAAGAAGAAAATGTCCCTTAATACATTTAGGTACATTATGAGAGAGGAAAGGGAGTATGCAAGCCTTGAATGATGAAGTGTTCAAGGTGTGGCAAGTTTGCCAATACTGAAAACAGAACACATGGAGCCAATTAATAATTCTTCCAAGGATTGATCTCCTTGACTCTTTAATTGTACTTATTTTAAACTTGGTTTTGCCCCTACTATAAATATGTAAGGAGATACTTCAAAATCTTTAGCCTCACTATCCAAATGAAAACGAATTTAACACAAAGATAGTAGTGACAAAGACATCTTAGTATTGTCGTACCAGGGACATGTTAGCCTAGCTCAAAAAGTCTATCTTATATTACTTTGGCTTTGCCATCATCTTACTATTGCAAATGTCACTGTATCAGACACATCTGTCTCCCCATACCTTGTCATTTTGAGCCACCTCTGACTTGGCCTACAGCCATGGTAGACTTCTTCTGGCATGCTGACAGCTTCCCATCTCACATGTTTTATTTCTTTTCTTGAGGGGAAAGTGTCTTGAAACCTTGCTCAGAACATATAGAAGGCAATTTGGAAGTGCCCCAGATTTAATGGGTCAAGGAGGGGTACTCAACTGGTAAGGGACAGACGTCGATGGATAAACACCCAAGCTTTTCTAGCCTCCTTTTGGACAATTCCTAGAAGAGCTCTGAAGGATACTTCAAAGCATCTTGAGTGATGGAACCTTAGCACAGCAGCTAAGGTTAGTATAGATGACAGCAGTCATCTGTACTTTACTGCGCACTTTATTAACTTTCTCCCTTCTTGGTCTCACATTCCCTATTCCCTCATTTTAGATTCCCGGAATCATCTACCAAATAAGCATCATATACCAAGTAATCATCCACCAAATAAACATCAAGTCCTTGCCTCAGGATGTACTCTTGGGGGAATTTACACTCTGACAATCTCAGTCTTTTGTATGGTATTAGCAAAATGAGGCCACACA